TTACTTCATGAATTTTGCCAATATTTTTATTTATAATTAGCAAAGGAATACAGTGGGTTTGTTTATTCAGTCATGTCTGGAAATATTCTTGAAATACGGAACAGAAGTATCATTCTAAAATGTTATATTTATTGAATACAATGTCATGTCTCTTTTTTAATGCTCTACAAAATAGTAGCATAGAAAATCATGGGTTAACAACATTATCATGATGAAGAACATAAAAATTAAATGGTGAAGATTTTGTCATAAATAAGAGTCAAAACCAAGGTGGGGTTGTGGCTCAGCTATAGAGCACTTGCCTAGCACGCATGAGATACCACGCAAAAAAACCCAAATAAACAAAATAAAGGTATTGTGTCCATCTGCAATTAAAATATTTTTAAAAATGATGGCCTCTTCACCAATTCTGCCTGCCTGCCTTCAGTCCTTTCTTCCTTTTTTTTTTAATTAAAAAAATGTCAAAGCCATTGAGACAGGCAGAAAAAGAATGCTAGGAATTCTATTAACTGTTACTTTCAAACCAGATTGTCTGTTCCCAGATTGTGCCCTTTGTCTTGAGCTCATCAACCCTTACTGGTAGCCCTTTGGCTAGAGTTAGAGTGTTGGGACGCTTGAGTATGCTTTGTGTCTTTTCATAGTTCATTTCTATTTTTGTTTTGTCACATGTCTCTCTGCATTAACACTCTGGATACTGGCCATGCATGTTTGGGTCTCGCCCACCTTTCTCCCTTTGTATTGGTGTTTGAGTCACATGCTCTCTAACTATGTCATCAGTCCCATCCTATCCCCATGTCTGGCCTTAGCTTCTGGACACTCAGTTTGAGGTCTCCATTGGTCAGATAGGGAGCAAAGACCCTTTCAACATATAGTAAATTATATTTATAATAACAGTGCATTTATTTAAATATTCATAAGGCTTACCATCAATTCAATTTAAGAAAGCAGGATAAACATATCTTCTGCATAAATTGGAGTAGCAAGCATCAAATTTGAACACCTTTCTAAAACAATCAAAGCCAAAAAATAAAAAGACATAAAACAGTAGTTTTCAAGACACTAGATATCAGGCAATGAAAGAACACGATGACTGGGTGTAATGGCATACTCCTCCACGTCTATAATCTCAGTTGCTCAGGGAGACTGAGACAAGAGAATCCCGAGTTCAAAGTCAGCCTCAGAAGTTAACAAAGCCCTAAGCAACTCAGTGAGACCCTATCTCAAAATATAAAAAAGGACTGAGGATGTGGCTCAGTGGTTAAGCACCCCTGGGCTCAATCCCTTTTACCTAAATAAGTAAAAGAACATGGTACCTGAGAAAGAACAAAAAAAATTAGATCCACGTGTGAAAACTGAATTTTAAGCAAGGTATAATTGCAATGCAGTGCACAAAAAGACTTTAGAAAAAATGGTTCAGAAACACATGGGCTACATGACCAAAAAAAAAAAAAAAATTTTTTTTTTTTTCTGAACCCAGGGCACTTTACTACCAGGCTATATCCCAAGTCCTTTTTATTTTTGAAGTAGGGTCTCACAAACTTGCAGAAGACATTGCCAAGTTTCTGAAATTAGCCTCAGACTTGCAATTCTCCTGCCTTAGCCTCCTGAGTTGCTGGGATTACAGGTATGTGCCACTGTGTCCAGCCAAAAAAATCTTTATCCACAAATTATATCATATATAAAAATTGAATCAAAATGAACCAAAATCGGGGATGGGGCTATAGCTCAGTGACAGAAGACTTTCCTGGCATGCACAAGGCTCTGGATTAGATTCCCAGCACCCCATATACAAATGCAAATGAATCAAAAGCAGATCTCATCAAGATGGTAGACTGGCCCATTTTCCCTTAAAACAACAAATTTTCAGCCATCATAGGCAAAAGTGCCATTGTGAGAGCTTTGGGATTCTGATAGGAAGTTGTAAAACCCCAGTGGAACCTAGGACCTAGGAAGGCCAATTTGAGAGGATATCCTTGTGCAAGTTGACTAACTGTAATGCCAGGTTTAAATCACAAACATCCCCATTCCCCTCAACTATGGCCATATTCAGACTGAATCTTGTCATCAGTATCTGTTGTACATCATGGTAATTATAGTTAACTACATATTGTATATTTGAAAATTGTTAAGAATAAATTTTATGTTTTCAACTAAAAGAGCAAGTATGTGTGGCAATGCATGTTGTTAATTAGCATGATTTAAACATTCCACAATGCATATTAATATCAAACATATATGGCATAAATATTTGTAATGAAAAATAAAATAAGAAAATGTGACACAATGAAATATTACCCAGTCTTAAAAATGAAGAAAATTCTCTCCTTTACAGCAACATGCATAGACATGGAGACCATTGTATTTAGTGAAATAAGCCAGGGAGAGAAAGATAAATATTGCATGATTTCATTTATGTATGGAATCTAAAAAAAAATTTGAACTCATACAAGCAAAGAACAAAATGGTTATTACCAAGGTTGGCTGGGGATGGGGAAAGATGGGGAAGTATTTGTCAAAAGTTTCATTAACGGGTTTAATAAGTGCTGGAGAACTATTATTTAGCATGGTGACTATAGTTAACAACTTATAACTAAAAATTGCTGAGAGTTGATCCAAAATGCTTTAGCCAGAAAAAAAATGTGTGTAAGGTGATAGATTACTTACTTAGATTGGCTTAATCATATGAAAATGTGTATGTATATTGAAATGTTATGGTGTATATTTAAAAAATATACATTTTTTTGTACTAGGGATGGTACTCAGGGGTGCTTAACCACTGAGTCACATCCTCAGCCTTTTTTATATTTTATTTTTGAGACAGGGTCTCACTAAGTTGCTTAGGGCCTTATGGTATATATTTTAAAATATACATTTTTTTTTGTACCAGGGATGGTACTCAGGGGTGCTTAACCACTGAGTCACATCCTCAGCCTTTTTTATATTTTATTTTTGATACAGGGTCTCGCTAAGTTCCTTAGGGCCTTGCTAAATTTCTGAAGTTGGCTTTGAATTCTCCTCCTGCCTCAGCCTCCCTGAGCCACTGGGATTACAGGTGTATACCACCATGCCTGGCTAAAATCTGCAATCTTAATTTGTCAATTATGTCCTAAGAAAATTGGAGAAAAATGGATTATAAGCCATGTTTTCTTCCCTGTAAGGAGAATCATAGAAAAAAAATCTGTGACCTTGGGAAAAGTAAATGTCTTAGATATGACATGAAAAACAATCAAAGAACAAATAGATAAATTGGAATTTATCAAATTTTAATATGTTTGCTGTTCCTTAGATACTGACAGGAGGATAAAAACAAATACATAGATTCAGAAACTACTTGAAAATTTTATGTCAGATAAAGAATTTTTAACCACAACATGTAATAAAAGTTTCAAGACTCAATTTTAAGCAATCAAGTTAAAAAATGGAGAGAATATTTGAGCAGACAGTTCATCAAAAAACATATGCATTTTTCTATGTGCTTGTTTATCATTTGTATATCATTAGAGAAACAAAACAATGAGATACTTCCACAAATTAATTAGGTGGATAGATTTAAACAATTAACAAAAATCTATTTAAATTGTTCCCCAACATGTGAAGAAACTGTAACTCATGCTGTATATAGTTAATGAGAATGTGAAATCATTAAACCATTTTAAAACAGGTTTATGAGTTATTGAATTTTTAGACATATGCTGCATATCACATAATTCACCCATTCCAGTCCTAGATATATATCCAAAAGAAATAAAATCATATGTTCAAACACTTGTAAATGTTTATAGTAGCTTTAATTTCATAGCTGGCAACTGATAAAAATCCAAATGTCAATCAACAGTTGAATAGACAAACATAATTGTTCTATAAGAACACTGGTGGAATATTACCTAGAAATAAAAAGGAACAGATTATTGACACATGTAACAATATAGATGAAGCTCCAGGAAATTCACCAAATGAAAGAAACCCAGAAAATTGTTACATACTACATGATGACATTCTTATAAAACTCTAGAAAGAGCAAAGTGATCTACAGTGATGTAATGTGGTGAAGTTGTCTAGGAAATGATTGTATGCACAATGGTGGGAGGGAAGGAATATGAAGGTCTTCGAGAAAATGTTTTGGAGTGATGAATATTATTCACTCTTTATTGTGGTCACTATTTCACAGATGTATTTGTGTATTAACATTAATGAAAGTCTACACTCTAAATATACACTTGACATCACTTATGAATGAATTAAGCTCTTAAGGGCAGGCTAAGACTTAAAATAATTCAAATTGTTTCAATACAAAACCTTTGACATTTGAAGAGGTAAACAGGCAGTGTCCCATGGGAAAATTATTAATTTCTGTAAATTCTGGATAAGTGAATGAAATAAGCTGGTACATGATTATATTGGTAATGATATTACACACCTTTTTTTCCTGGCTAAAACATAACTCATAAAGCTGTTTTAAAATGATTTCATGATTTCACATTCCCATTAGCTGTATATAGCATGAGTTACAGTTTCATGTTGGGGAACAATTTAAATAGATTTTTGTTAATTGTTTAAGTCTACCCACCTAATTAATTTGTGGAAATATCTCATAGTTTTGTTTTTCTAATGATATACAAATGATAAACAAGTACATAGAAAAATGCATATGTTTTTTGATGAACTGTCTGCTCAAATCTTCTCTCCATTTTTTAACTTGATTGCTGTTTTCTTGGAGGAAATAGAGAGGTTGTTGGGATGTTACAAATTAGTGTGCTGAGTTGTATTGTGCTTATTATTTTGTCATAATTTTCCTTATAATATGTTCATCTTGAATTTCAGCCAATATTCTCCAAATATCAAATTATAGTTTTTCAGATAAAAGATTAATTTCTGATGCTATAGTAAATATTTATCTGTCATTTTTATACAACTTAATTGATCCAAATAATCTTGCAAACCTAAAAAAATAAATGTGTTTGCCAACATTAAACTTAATAAGTAATTTTTCATTATTTTAGGGCCCTCTGTCCTTAACTTTGGTGACGTTTCTGTGAACTCTACAAATACTCATTTATTACATGTCATTAATATGCTACCTATGTATATTTTGATCAAGTTAGATACTAATTTGGAAGAACTTCAGAAAACCAAACAGTTATCATATGTGATTCCACCTACATCTAATACTTATATTTCAATGATATTTGAATCTCCTACAACTGGAAAATTTTGGAAGTAAGATTGATTTTTGAATTTATTTGCTAGAATGATTTGTCAAATATGTATTTGTTTATAAGTAATTGTAATGTGTATTTGGTTGTATAACATAGAAACTATATGTGCATCAGTTTGTAGACTGGTAAGTTCAAATTGTAGTGGATATTTTAATTCTCTTTCATAATTATTTTGAAATATTAAGTACTACATATTGTGTACATTACACTATGGTTTATACATTTTTCCACAACACTGGATTCTATGATTACAAATAGCTTCTATTAGTTACATTTAGATGCTTTTTGTTTTACAGATCGTTTACCTTTACAGTGAACAGCGTACCTGGAGGGCATATCTTAGTGATGGCAAATATCATGCCAGTAACACTTGAGCTATCGCTTAAGGAATTAGTATTGAGACCACAAAGCTTCTTGATGAAAACATGTTTTCGGGGAACAGTTAGATTGTATAATCGTCAGAATCGTTCTGCCCAATTTGGATGGCAACCAGTAAACACAATAAAAGGGATGGCATTTTCCATTCGCCCAGCTACAGGTAATGGTTTATTTTGTTTGATTTAGACATTCATATATTCATTCATTTGCACATGCAGGCATGAACCACTTATTGTATACTGTGCACTTGTGCTAAGAGCATGGAAGTAAATTAGCTACTGTCATAGGAGCATTTATTTTTACACATATAAATATTATTTTAAAATATGGATACTATTTTAGTCAGAATTCTCCAGAGAGATAGAACCAATAGGAGATGGACATGAAGAGGGAGAAGCAGAGAGAGGAGGATCTTACAGAACCAGCTCTTGCTCACACAATTGTGTGGATTGGTAAGTCTACAGTGCAGGTTGGAGATCCAGGAAAGAGTTGAATTGTGCTGTCTTCAATCCAAAGTCATTCTGGAGGCAGAATTAATTATTTCTCAAGACCTTTCAGCCTTTTAAGACTTTTAACTTATTGCCGGAGATCCACAGATATTATGAAAGGTAATGTGCATGTTAATTAATTTGCTTGTGACAATATACTAATGTACCAAATCATCATGTTATATACTTGGACTATATAGAATCGTTGTCAATTAAATGTTTTTTGAAAGTCTATTGATTTAAGTGTCAATCTAAATAGCAGCTTCACAACAGAATCTAGACTGGTGCTAGACCAAACAAGTTTCAGACACCTATAAAATGGTGAGATGATATAGTCCATAAAGATTAAATTATGAAAACCTTCTATGGGGCTGATTGTGGCTCAGGGGTAGAGCACTCGCCTAGCATGTGTGAAGGCCTGGGTTCAATCCTTAGCACCACATAAAAATAAATACATAGAATAAAAGTATTGTTTCCAGTTAAAACTAAAAATTAAATATCAAAAAAATAAAAAATAAAACCTTCTATAATATTTGACAGAGAGGTGCCAAATGCACAGGTAGCTGTGTGATTATGAAAATTTTCTTATTCTGTTTTGGCTTTTATTACCCCTGAAAGTGTACTCCAAGCAACACAACCTATCATGCATCTTGTTTTCCAACTCCTTGCTTCCTCCTTTCTTTCCTTTTCTCCTTTCCCTTTCTTTTTCCCTTCCCCTCCCTCATTTTATTTATTTCTAATTTAGGAATAGATCTAAATATACTATATTCAGATCACAGAGGAGCCTTGGTTTGTAGAAATCTTGCCTCAAATTTCTTTTCTTGTGAATATTAGTCATTTCCAAATCAGAATTTTTATATATTTCTGCAAGGGTTTTCAAAAGGATCATGGTGTTATAAAAACAATCTTATGTATTAAATTAAATTCAATCAATTTTAATGTGCATTATAGATAGAGGTGTTGACAAATTTAACAGGTGAAAAGAGTAGAGTTGGAGATAATTGATACAGCTGTTTAATCTTTTGATTAACCTGGATTTATTTAACATAATCTCACATTATAATCTATTAAGCATCTGAGGTATACTTTCATCAATATTTGTCATATTCATTTAACTAAGCTCAATATTTCTCATATTCATTTAATCAAGCTCTTTTAAAATTACAATACTGGGGCTAGAGTTGTGGCTCAGTGGTAGAACACTCACTCACCTGGCATGTGTGAGGTCCTGGGTTCGATTCACAACACCATGAATAAATAAATGAATAAAATAAAGTATCTTCAACAACTAGAAAAATTTTAAAAAATTACAATACTGATAAGCTGGGTATGGTGGCACATGCCTATAATTCGAGCTGAGGCAGGAAAATCACAAATTTAAGCCAGCTTCAGCAATTTAGTGAGGCCTTAAGCAACTTAGTGAGACTCTGTCTCAAAATAAAAGATATTTTATCTCTTATGGCTGGGGGTGTTGTTCAGTGGATAAGTACCCCTGAGTTCAATCCCTGGTAACCTGCTCCCCAAATGTAATACTAATAATACTGGATTCTGTTGTGATAAAATAATTAGAAAAGAAAGTGATCATTTTTCTGTAAATTCATATTTCTATACATTTCAGAGATTCTAGATAACCCTTCTTCAGTTTGTTTGAACAGATATAAGAACAGTGGTAGTTTGATATCAATATTCCAGCTATAATTTTTGACCAACCACCTGATATTGTCCCAAGAGTGTCTAAAATGCACAGTGCACTAATACTTTTATTTCTTTGTATTTCTCCATCCGAAACAGGGCTGAATGGATTGAAATTGTCCCTGATAGCCATGGAGATATAATGATGATACTTCATTTGTACCAAATACTAGTAGAATTATAATATAAACTGGACCACCAGTTATGCTTTATTGGTCTTTAGAAGTCTTATTTTTGTAGGGAGATTTTAGCATTTACTTTTTTTCCCTTTAGGTTGCCAATGACCCCTCTTACATTTAACTAAAAAAATATCACCAAGGCATAAAAAGCACTAAGACATTAAATTCCAAAGAAAATGTTTGTATGAAAAAGACCATTAGTATGTAAATTCATTTTCTATTTTAAGAATACAAATGATAACAATGCTCTCAAAACTATTTTATATAGCAATGAAGAAAGTGTTAATTGTGTCATATATATAGATTTGTTTGTTGTTTTCCTCAGAATATTTCTAAGATAATTACTCAATTTTATGTTGTTTTCCTCTTTGTATGAATAGGAAGTGACTTTTCACTAGATTATTTTTCTTATGCTCTATTGATTTTGCATCCTGGATAATACATTTAATTATATGCTTTTTTGCCTTTTTGGGTAAACTAACATGAACAATTCTAAATTGATATTTATATTTTGTTTGTCCTTTCTTCCTGAGACATGATATATTTTGGATTTGGATTTGGGTAGCATATGTTGTAAGGGAAGAAAATAAGAGTGTATTCATATTTTCTGAGGTAGAACTCACTTCTAATTTGATTTTTAAAATATGTATTGTTTATGCTTCTGCTTGTTTTGTTTTCTTCTTTGTTTCTTTACCATTACTAAAATACCAAGTGAATCCTTGAGCTTGCTTCAGTCATTTTGCTCTCATTGTCTTTCTCAGTTTTGTCAATCCCTGGCCATATAAAGTACCTGTCTTACCAGTCCCACTCTTGCTCAGTCTAGCCTTTCAATTTATTTCCCCTGTTTCCTGATACATGTAATGTTCCTAGAGAAAAATATATAAGTACACTGATTGGAAGAAAAACAAAATCTCTTCAAATGGACCCTTCAACAGGATTGTATAATGCTTCTACTGTCTCTGCTTTTCTTGGGGGCACTCAGATGACTTTATTTGTAGCATTGAATCTTCTTTTTTAAAAGTACTTCCCATCGTAGTTTTCCCCACACCCACTGTCTTCTTGTACTTTAATGTAATGACACTTAGGCTTCCCTCAAGTTTTGTCCTGCAAAGATCTAACTCATTCTTCATGTCCCAACTCAAATGCCATCTCCATATAGTGATGTTTCTTCTATTTCATTGAACTATATAAGGTTTCCTCCATCTTTTTTGCTATTATTATGCATTTGTTTTTAAATATTTATTTTTTTTAGTTGAATGCCTTCATTTTATTTATTTTTATGTGGTGCTGAGGATATGTATTTGTTTTTTTCCATCTCCAAATATTTGTTTTTATCTGCCTCCTTTTGTCGTAGACATTGCTAAACTCATATCTGATATCCATTTCCCTTCATAACAAGACCCTAATTTGGGGAATGAGGTAGCAGTGATCTTATTTAGAAAGCTCTTTGCTCCAGCTTCCCTTGTCAAAACAATATGAACAGAGATTTCCTTTGGCTTCATCCTCTTTATATGTAGGGGCACTATATTGTTTGTATGTATCTATAAGTAAAGCCATCACTAATCCTAGGGTGATTGTTTCATTTTAAATTTTGTGTTGTTTTTTAAACATTGTTATATTTTTGTTGTATATTTTTATTGACCTGTTAAAATTGGGAAATATGCTAGGTGTGGTGGTGCATGCCCGTAATCCCAGCAGGCTTGGGAGGCTGAGGCAAGAGGATTACCTGTTCATAGCAAGCCTCAGCAACTTTATGAGGCCCGAAGCAACTTAGCAAGACCTTGTCTCAAAAAATAAAAAGGACTGGGGATGTGGCTCAGTGGTTAAGCACCCCTGGGTTTAATCCCAGATACAAAAAAAAAAAAAAAAGGAAATAAGGTTTGCATTTTAGATTTCAATCAAATCCTATATGATTATGCCCATTTGATAATATCCCATTTAACATTTCCCTATTAGTAGAGTTTAATTTTAATAATTTGTTGTATAATGCAAGTAAATTTTAGGCCAGTTTGTCTTTTGAATATTAACAAAAAATTCAATGTGATAAAACTATGGTAAATGTTTTCTTTTCTCTCTATTCTCTGTAGGCACTGTTGAAGCATATTCATCACTGGAATGTGAAGTAATGTGGCAGCCAAGTTTCAATTCTCCAGAAAAGGGGGATTTTATTCTTAATGTCTCTGAAGGAAACACATTGACACTAAAATGTGTTGCACATGTAATTATTTCCTTTGAATATTTTTATTTTGAGGGCTATAAATTGATTGAGTATGCATATGTGTGCTGTATATATGCATATATAGTATATTATGTATATAAACATACACTACATATTCACACAAAGTGTATGGAAAAACTGACTTTTCATGAAATACTTCATTAACTAAATTGTCTTAGTTCCTTCATGGAGCCTCTTGTCTATCATAAATGAAGAATTTGTTAAAAAATGTGTTAGGTATCTAGAATTAGCTAAAAGAGTTTTATGAAAACAATACTAGACTGTCAGAATCTCTATAAATCTATGATACCATCATGGAAGCAACTGGAAATTAAATTGTTTCACTAATAGACACCAAAGAAGAAGGGAGAAAATTATATTTTGCTCTACTGTATTGCATCGTTAATATTCTAGTAGTAGTTAATAATTCAGTATGAAATAGATCATGTAATTTACATAGTAGGAAAATATATATTTTTACATTTTTATGGAATATACATCTTGTAATAAAAATGTGAATAAAGCAAAAGCTGCAATAGATAATTTTTAAGCTTCTTTCTGTGGTAGAGCCTAGAAGGCCTTAACTTTATGGCTTCCTATCACCAAGAATGCACTTTACTAATATCCCAAATTTTCCATCCAGTGTTCTTTTTTTTTTGGTATTGGAATTGAACCCAGAGGGGCTTAACCACTGAGCTAAAATCCCTAGCTCTTTTTTTTAATATTTATTTTTTAGTTATAATTGGACACAATACCTTTATTTTATTTATTTATTTTTATGTGGTGCTGGGGATTGAACCCAGGGCCTCACATGTGCTAGGCAAGCACTCTACTTGCTGAGCTCTTTTTTAATTTTATTTTTACTTTTTGGTATTGGGGATTGAATCCAGGGATGATTAACCATTCAGTCACATCACCAGCCCTTTTTATTTTTTATGTTGATACAGGGTTTCATTAAATTGCTGAGGGCCTTGCTAAATTGTTGAGGCTGGCCTAGAACTGGAGATCCTCCTGCCTCAGCCTCCCAAGTCTCTGGGACTGTAGGCATGTACCACTGTGCCTGGCTCCACCCAATGTTCTTAAAAATTTAAAACAAGCCAAAGGCTATTTTACTAAACTTCATCTCTATCTATGGGACATGATGTTAGTTTTACATATTTTAGCTGTGACAAAACTTAAAGTCTTAAAAAAAAGAGAGATTCAGAAACTTGAGTGGCATCAAATGGCAGTCAGAACACAGTATGGTTTTTCCTCTGGTCCAAGCTTGAAATAAGCTGAATCCCACTGGTTTTCAATATGTATAAATTACTTAGTATTCTTTCTTAAACTTTATGTTGAAATATAATATGCATAAAAAGGTACACAGACTGAAAATCATGTATCACTTAATCTTCACAAACAGGTAATGCTTTTGTAACCCATTCCTAGATGAGCTAGATCTAGAAACATAATGTGATTAATACAACAAAAGAGCCACCCCACCCCAGTTCACATTTTCATTCACTGTATCCATCCCAAGATCATCACTCTCTTCACTGCTAAGAGCACAGATTAATTTTGATTTTGAACTTCATATACATGGAATTAAACCATATATCCTCTCATATGTACACCTTGTTTTATCATCATTAGGTTTGTGGGATTTGTCTATGCCGATTCATATGGTCATAGATTGTTCATTCTCATTCCTGAATAGTATCCCACTGTGTGACCATACTATCATTTATCCTCTATACAACTGATAGGGATTTGGCTTATTTCAGATGTTTAGCTAATATAATAATGTCTCTATCATCATTCTTATATTGTCTTGTGGTGAATATATGCACACAGATTTTTTAACTGTTCTTTATGTAATTGTGCTTAACGACTTTACTATTATAAATTTGCTAACATACCTCATATGTATTTTTTCTAACAGATAAAGATGACAATTTACTAATTTAGAATTAGCATTGGAGATACCATTTATTGAATAATTACTGTGTGCCAGGTGCTGTGCTAAATGTGCTCATTTGTTAGCTAATTTAATTCTTATAACAACCCTATGAGACACTATTAACTCAGTTGATGGGTGAAAAAATAGAGTATTAGAATGCTTAAATAACTAATACAATTTCACATGTATAGTAAACACCGTAGTTGGAATTTATAGCCAACTGCTTCCACATCCTTTATTATTACCCTATGATAAAATTTGCTTTTTGTATTTCTTAGACCAGCATTGGATAACAATTAAACTCTGAGATATCATGATAATTAGTTATTTTAGGAACCTTTTTGAAGCTTTGAAAAGTAACTCTTACAAAAGCAAATAGAAAGGAACATTAAATGAATAAATAAGATGTTCATTTTAGGTTTGTCATTTCTTTTGTAAGGACTGACTGTCTTGACTATTTCCTCTTGGTTTAACAATTTATCATTCCAATTATCCAAATTATGATTTTTCTAATAAATAATTATAAAGATGCATTAAACTTTAGAAAGAATATTTCATAGACTAAAGACCATATATAGTACCTGGTATAAAGGACACTGAATAAGGCACTGGAAAATTTGTGTTCTATTTCTTCTTGGATATAGCTTGCTTTCCTATATGATTGGACAGGTACATAATACCAATATTTCCAAAAAGTATTCTTTTCAATTTTTAAAAATGTTTATTAGTGCTTTGTAATTATAAGAAAAGTGTTTTATGAAGTGCTTTGTGCAGAATGAGGAGCAGAGAGACCTGTGAATCACAATAAACTATGTCCCCATTCTCAGAAAAGCAAAGTGTATACTATCACTATATTATGCTCTATGAGAAAGCTTTTGGTAAACATGGCTAGATAATCTCATTTGGCAGCTTTCTTTCCATACTTTTGGCCCTTCAAATCTTCCCATTTGCAAAGCACAGAGTAACACCCTGTACATGGTTGGGTGGATAATATCTCTAAGTTCCTTCCAATGATGAATCAATAGGTTTCTTAGTTCTGAATTCCCTTCCTCCATAGAGTTATCTTACTCTCTCTGCCTTCTGTAGTTTGGGAATACATTTAAAATATACCATTCTATTTTTTTTCTTTAACATAACACACAATCTAATTACACTTTATAATTTAAATTTCAAATCTCCATGAAGCTTAAAAATGGAGGTATATTGTAGGGGTGAAAGTGTATTTTTATTACTGCTCTTATTTCTCTTCTTTGCTGTTTAGTAGTGTTAACTTTGCTTCTTTGTTCATAGAATGGGTTTTTCTTACCTATAAAGGTAGCAAGAGATTAATATATAGAAAAATTGTGTATATTTGTTGAAATATATTTATTCATATTTTGTGAAGTTGATGAATGTTACTTACCCATTGTATGACTTAGACAAAATTCTTAATCACCCTACTTTTGGTGAAATTTGTCAGTTTCATTCATCCATTCATTTCACTATTATTTACTAAATCCATACTTTGTATCAGGCCCTATGCAGACTGTGTATTTAAAGATGAGCAATATATTGGGCTGGGGATATGGCTCAAGTGGTAGCGTGCTCGCCTGGCATGTGTGCGACCCGGGTTCGATGCTCAACACCACATACAAACAAAGATGTTGGGTCTGCCGAAAACTGAAAAAATAAAATATTAAAAATTCTCTCTCTCTCTCTCTCTCTCTCTCTGTCTCTGCCTCTCTCTCTCTCCTTAAAAAAAATATGAGCAATATAGACATGGTCTAGCTTTTTCCTAGGTACTTTCTGGACTGGTAGACCATAGTAAAAATATAAGTAAAGAACTAATATATTTGGCTCACACTGGGAACATAGTAATTTGATTACTATTATTGTCATCATATTACCACTGAAATAATTAGGTATTTTTGTCTAAAAATATTTAAATATCTAAATTATAAATACCTAATTGCTAATAGTACAACCCAAATACCTAAGTAAAATCTCTCCTATGATTTTTATGTATTTTTAATTTTTATTTTATTTATTTATTTTTATGTGGTGCTGAGGATTGAACCCAGTGCCTCACATGTGCGAGGCAAGTGCTCTGCTGCTGAACCACAACCCCAGCCCTCTCCAATGATATTATTACTCTATCTTGACTGAATTGTCACAGATGTTGTTTAAATTTAAGAAAATAATATAATAACTTGAGTACTTTTTAATCAAAATTACAATGAAATAACTTGATATGTGATTTGTTTTTATGTTAGAATATACTGAATAAATAATATAAGGCAGATTGTCATGTTTCATTCAATAATCATATCTTTGGTTAATAAAACCCTTTTTGTGATCAATTATTTTATTTGCTATTATGACATTTACATTTTTCTCCTTTCCTCCTCTCATTACTAGATTGGTCACACCAAGGTTGTATTTTTGGAGCCAAGAATACTGTTCAGTAATAGTCCTCAAGGCTTAACAACTTGGAGGAAAGCCATATTACACAATGTAGGAAAAAACCATGCTTACTTCAAGGTACTATAGAATTTTGGTCATTTCTTATTTGAATCAGATCATATTATGATTGATTTAATTTGTTGGCACCATGAATTATATCAGAGTAATGCTTTATTCCCTATAAATAGAATTATGCTAATTTTAGATATTATATTTATGTAAGAATTTTCTGAGTACCTTTTAAATTCTCAGAAAAATTGTTTACTCACTTCCTTACTTAGTTACTCCCTTTCTTCTTGTCTACTCCAGTTTTTACTTTCAGTTATTTGATTTCACTGAGAAATATTTTTAAATGTTTAAATATACATTATGATTAATTTACACTTTATATTTAGTTATGTGATTTACTTTTCTCCTCATTTGCAGGACTTATAATAGCTACTGAGACATAAATGGAGGCAAGTCTGCAGATAGTCTATATATAATTGTTGCTCCTTATTTAAATGGAGGGAGGGGATAAGTGGTGATAGAGTTGTTTTATTTTTGCTAAAACAAATACATTAAACACCACCCCAAATAGTGGTATTAGAGATTAGCATTTAAGATTTTTCGTTCATGCTTTATATTAGCATGTCTTTTTCTGCCCAAAGCAACTCTTGCCAAAATAAACAAATGAATAGATCCTTTTTCTACCATGCTTATTTCAGAATTTGTTCTTACCTGGATAGTCTATTTGTCCTCTTCTCCAAAATATTTTGGCCAATTTCCCTTTAAATTATTCTGACTTTAAGAATGATAAATAGGTTTAAACTGATCTCTAACAAAGCACAACCAAAAGCCTTATGACTTTTTGAAGATGAAAATGATATCTTAGATATTATGCATTCTATCAAGGAGATATAAAGAAGAGATTACTTCAGCATCCTGCCTCTCTGCTAACTTTGCTTAAACTTTTCAGTATCAGGGAAAAGAAAGCTGTCAATGTTGTATGTACATACAATGTTGTCATAATCTCTAACAAATACATCTCAACCTTCTAAATTTTGCAGCTTTAATTACTACAACCACTATAGAAACTAGTACAGAGATTCCTCAAAAGACTAGGAATGGACCCATCATATGACCTAGCTCTCGCACTCCTTGGTATTTATTCCAAAGAACCAAAATCAGCATAATATATGCATATTAATGCTTATAACAGCTCAATTGACAGCAGCCAAGTTATAGAACCATCCTAGGAGTCCTTCAATAGAAGATTGGATAGAGAAAATGTGGTTTATATACATAATGGCATTTTACTTAGCCATAAAGAAGAATGAAATTATACCATTTGCTGGTAAATGGATGGAACTGGAGAACAATATGCTAAGTGAAATAAACCTGATGTAAAAAGTCAAGGGTCAAATGTTTTGTCTTGTATGTGGAAGCTGGAGAAATAAGGAATTTAAAAGGGGGAATCTCATGAAAATAGAAAGGAGAAGAGTTGGATAGAGAAAGGGGTACCGGGAAGAGGGATGGAGAGGGGCAGAGAGTAAAGAATGAAATTAGCCAAATTATTCAATGTGTATTATGAAAATATTACAATTAATTTCACTTTTATGTATAACCACAATTCATCAATTAAAAACAAATTTTAAGAAAGAAAATTAGTTGCAGTTTTGAACGCACTTGAGGTAATAAACTTCATCATCCTATTTGAACTGGAAGGTGCCACTATTGAAGTTTCTTTTTAATGAATGAGGGCTGCAATTCCTTCTTGTAGTCCAAGCTATTTGTGTTTGGTATTTCCAAACAACATTATAATACCTTATTCCCTATGTCCAGTGGTGTGGATACTTTCCTGTGAAAGCTTTGAAGCAATAATTTTAGGGATAATGTAGCATTTCTGTACGTTTTTAATTACAGGTTTGTGACCAGAGTCTTTTGCCCACCATTAAGATTATTCCATCAAAAGGAATAATTCCATTTGGAGGGATAACTATTCTTAATATCTCCTATACACCCGCTGTGGCAGAAAAATTTGATACAAAAGCAAAGGTATGTTTGTTTATATATATGCCTCTCTATATATGTGTTTTGTACTTTTTATATATCTATATGGGTTTGTTTGGTTCTTTAAAATATGCACAATACTAGTTATAGTACTATAAAATATGCACACATTTGTTTTTAGAAAATGTATTTTAAATTTCTTATTGGGAATGGAGTTTAAAGTTAATGACACTAAAGGTCAAATTTTTAGATTTCTATTATTTTAGAAATTGAATTAGCTCTAAAATATGTCATTGTTAGAAATATAAAAAGGCAAACTTACATAAATAATCTAATATAAAGTTGTATAGCAGAACTTGGAGACAATTTGCAGAAAAATATTTCTGGTGAAAGTTGATAATGGAAATTTCTACATGAAATGAATACCTTCCATTAATATGGGACACTTTCACTTGAAATTGTAGTATTTGGCATCTCTTGAGTTTTGACAAATCCTCACTAGTCATAGAGAAAAGAATGGCCTTTTTCATGGCATTACTTAGATTGCTCAAGGGAAAAATAGTCAATGATAGGATGCTAATTGATAACTATATGAATTGTATGCAAATTCAATACAATATAACATCTATATTTTATTACATAAATTGTTTTACTACTTTATTTCTAGGAATTATGTAAATGAAGTTACTAATTTTAGGTACTTCTGTAAGTGCTCCTTAAACAAAATAAAACATACAGGACCAATTTGTGTAAAATTTCATTCAATTGTAAAACACAAGGAATGGAATGCTTTTTATCTTTAATTCAGTGATCAGATGTGTGCATTTAGCTTAAAAACATAGTATGTATGTATACTGTCATGAGATGGAAGGGAGTAGTTTCATACATATCTTCCGACTTTCTCAATGTACCATAGCAATTAATGACTAAGAAATATGTAGCTTAAAGTAATGAACACTGATTTGCCTGGCCCGAAAATAAATAAATAACCTAAGAATGTTATCTTATTTTTATAAATAAGTATGTGTTGAAAGACATTTATAAATTAGATATTGTGATATGTGATATGAATCTTGGGCAGAATATTTTTAAACATAATATTCTGGTAAAAATAAAAAGTAAGAATTGTATTAAAATTTCACTGCATTTTAGGGGATTATGCTTTCTTTTTAACAAATCTTACTTTTTTAACATTATAAGTTTTACTTATTCTTCCATTTAACAGTCACATTATACATCAGTCTCTTTTGTATATGCTAAAGACACAATGTTGAACAAGATAATCAGGGTTCTTGATTTTGAAGAGTTTACAGTCTGGTGGAGATACATGAAAGTCAATAATTAAATTATGAATTATAAAAATATATTTTAGAAAATAATGAAATGGAAAAATGCCCCAGGCTAAGAGACAGGAGAGATATATATACCCCAGGCTTAACATATTTGGCAGGGTTTCTAGAGGAAGATACATCTAAAAGACACCTAAGTTTGAGAATCAGCCAGATTAAAAGGATGATAATGGTGTAGAGAAGGAGAAAAGGAAAGAATATTTAAGGAAGTACAAACAGCATGTGTTCAGACTTGGGGAAGAGACAGAGCTTTAAGACATATATGAGAAACTTAAAGTTTAGCATGACTGGATTTATAGACTACATGGATGATAGTAGATGAAAGACAGAGATCTGTGTGAGTTTTAGGTCATACTAGGCCTTTATCAGCATTAAGAAATAAAAGCTTAATTTTAAGAGATAGGAGTTTTAACCATGAAGATTTCACAATGATATTTACATTTATTAGAGATTGCTTGGGTTTTAGAGCAATAAGCTAGAACTAACAAGATTGACTGCAGAGTTATTAGTCTGATGAAAATATCCAGATAAGAAAAAACCTGGTGTTCTCAGTTTAAGAAACTGAGAACAGTTTCCTCCGTCAGAAAATCAGATTCTAGAAAAATTCTAGTCAAATTTAGGAGATTAATTCTTAGGGCTTGGTGATTGAAAAGGGATCATATATAAGTGAGGGGGTGAGTCAAGGTTGAGGCAGATGGTGGCAACATTCAGTACAAGACAGAATGACAGAATACAAGCATTTTTTATATGTATGTTTTGAGTTTGAGGCAACTTTCAGATCACATAAAGATGCCTAAGTCAGTTACACACACTGTGCATATTAGTCTGAATGCTAAAGATAAATCTTAGAGATGGCAGAGAATTTTTCTAATGTTGTGAGCATATAGATGAGTGTAAGTGGATCAAATATAAATCATTATGTGAGAAGTTAGATAAATTTTGGAGGAAGTTGAATGAAGGGAATATGGAGACGGCTGAATTGGGGCTGCTCAAGGGATCATAATCCATCACAGGCTTGAAATTATCTGCTATTGTGATATTCAGAAAATATTGGCTTTGTAAATGAGTGAGAAAGGGATGTGGGGATTATGGGAAAAAGAAAGATGAATGAATGTATGGTTTCAGAAGCTGTGTATTTATGAGGGGTGGTATTGTCCAGAGGGAATTTTAAGTCTCTGGAGATGAGAAGGTCAAGAGGCCAATGGGCTAAGGGTGGTAAATGAGGAATAATGTACATTTGTACATTCATTGGAAATAATGATGGGGGAAGTAAAAGGAAGCCGTGAATGTTAAGACTTATAAATGGGTTAATTAATGAAAAGCATGTCAATTTGTAATATCCTCTGAATCATTAAGTTATGCTTCTTAAGATTTTAGTGAAATATTATATGTATTATATACTCTTTTTATGGGAAGAACTATTTTTCTTGGTCTCCTTGTTTTTCTTTAATTTTGAATAATCCATTGAGATTAAATTTAAAAAAATTACAGAGTTGCAATAAGGTCTAGTCAAATGGGTAAAACTCTAAAGTCAAATTTACAAACCACCAACTGATCCCATTTGAGAGTTTTAATTGTTGAACACTGTTAGGTGTATCAGTTCTGCAAAACAAATATGATGATAATTGCCAGAATAAGTTTGTACATTTATATTATGTCACTATTATTTAAATTATAAAGTTTTTTGTAAATGCCAAGAAATTCTTCAGCAATATATAATTATATTTAATGTGGTTTTTATAATGTGTTATATTTCTCTTAAATAAGGTTGCTATTCGCCATGCAAATATCATAGACCTTAGGATTGGTGGATCTGTTGAGATTGCTAATATTGAAATAAAGCCGGTGAGTATGTTGCTAATTTGTGTGGTCAGTTTTTAAGTATGATGACTTTTATTTGTTATATATATCCTGAATTAGCTCATTTATGTTTAAAAATATTTTACTATGAAGTAATTTGACATAAAAATTAACATAGATAATATATATATATATAAATGATGTAATAAAATATTAAAAGAATTTTTAAGAATTCCCCACTGAACTAGGTATTAGAACACTGCCAGTATTATTAAAATCATCTGTAGGCTTCATCATGATCCTATCCATCATAACAGATAATCACTTTCCTATAATGACCACATATGTATAAATCACCTCAATCATTCATTTTTTTGTTCATTTTTGAGCTTTACAAATAAGACAGACTGTTTGTAGCCTGTTTGTAGTTGATAGTAATTGAACATTGTGTTTCCAACATTAATTTAATTTGTAACTGTATGTTATTCATTGTCATTGCTATATAATTGTTCCTTGTGTTGATATACTATAGTTTATATACTTATTCTTTTGGCCATCCAATTAGGTGTTTCTTCTTGTTGTTAATAAAATTACTTTTAGCTGTGCCCATTTATATGCATATATTAAGAAGTACATATACAAGGGCTTCTAGGAATAGAGTTCCTAAGACATACAATTTGTACACGTCTGGGTTATCAAGATAATTTCTGAAATTTCTTCTTGAATTGCCATTGCTTCACATTCCATTGCTCTACAAATTGGATTGTCAGATTTGAATTTTTGACAATCAATTGTGGATGAAATGGTATCACATGATGTTCTCAATTTATATTTTCTGAACTGTAGTCACATTTATTTTGAAATTATTGTCTATACACTAGTACAATTTTGTGCTACAGTTGATAAAGTACATAAACACACACACACACACACACACACACACACACACACCCCTTTTTCTCTTGGCCCATCCTTTACGAATAAGATCTGGTGTTATCCACCCAAAGAAGCTTTCTTTGATTCTTAAAAGCAGGCCTGTATACTTCTCCTTCATTGTGACATTTACTAGATGTTATGAATATGAACATTCATATTTATTACATTTTATGAATAGAACTCTGGGAACATCTCTGTCATAACAGTTGTCATATTATTCTTGGGTTACCTGTACTTTTGATTTTGTTTTCTCATGCCACAGCACCTTGCACTAAATTAAAGTGAGCAGCAATTGCTGATTAAAGAGGTAATGTGGCTGCCTCAGGTAGGGACTTACTTCTAGTCTGTCCTTTAATGGCATCACCAAAATTCTAAGGACTGGTTTTAATTTATAATTTTTTTGCTCTCTGTTATTAAGTGATGAAGGCATGATAAGTCCAGACAAATTGACAGATACTAAGTTAGCTTGTCCAAGGATATGGTGATTCATGAAGATTAGATCCAGTAGTTTCCAGAGTGTTTTATTCCATTGCTATTGTATTACTCCTTGAAAAAATTAGATAATATTGAGACTTCTATTACTTTATTTCTTCATTCTAAAGTCATTTGGTGCATGCTTTGCATGTTATAGTACAGTTTAATGGTTTATGGGACTTTGAATTACTATGTTTATCAAAATGCCCTTAATATTTTGAATTTTAGATGTAGTTGCCTCTTAAAAATAGTATTTTAGCATCACCAGATATTTTTTAAAATGCATTTAATAACTACTAGCTAATGGCTATTTAATTGAATATGTATCTTGGTAACAATTAGGAAATTTTATCCAAATTAATGTATTAGCAAGATAAGAATGGGATAAGAGGAGTGATTTAAAAAAATTATATATATATATAGATCAAATTTTCATTATCTATTTTGGAATTTATAAATTTTAGATGTAGAATTTTACATGGGTTAACACTTTAAGTTGAGCTTTATTTAGTATTCTCCTCAATATTGCAATACTCCTGCCTTAATTTCCTTTTAATGTTCTATGCAATTCTTTTGCTAAAGAATTGTAGGGTATCTATAGTAATTCTGCCATAGGGAGAATTTTGTAATGTGGGCTCATGCTTGGTATATGAGCTGAAGTTCAGATATATTGGATAAACATTCTTTATATATTTAAGGTAGGTATTAAGTGCTAAAGATACAAAAATGAATCGGAATCTTCAGTAGGAGATTCAGGTAATGTAAACAGACTATGTGATCTCACAATGTAAGTCAATATAAGGAACATAAGTGATCATGTGCACAGTGTGCTTAATTGTGGTTTATCTAACTGGGGTTTGATCACTATATAACATTTTATTAGGCAATTAATAGTTAGGGAAGGACCTTTCTAGCAGAAGAGGCACCACAAGACGCAGAAAGGTAAAGCATCAGGTGCTGGTTAGAAATGACAAGTCATGTAGCTTGCTGAAATATTAAGTGCTAAGGTGAGAGTGGAGCTCGTTGAGGCTGTGACATGAGGCAGGAAAGGTCAGGAGGAGTTTTATGACCTTGCTAATGAGCTCCTACGTTGTCCTGTAGTTGGTGGGGGACCATAAGATTTTAAGAGAGGCAGTGAAATGACCAGTCTCTCAATTAGTTTAATAGTGGCTTAGTTATAGAGAGAAGAATTTGAGAAAGTTAAAATCAGGAAACTAAATGAAAAGTGACAAGTTACTCATTTCATCCAGTTAAAATGAGGGTAAGAGGTGAGGAAGAATACAGAATTAATGGAACGTGGTAATTGATTATATATAGGAGATGGGAAGAGGAAATGACTAATTTTTGTAGAGTTCTCCTTTGATATTATTTTCTTTGATAAACATAAAAACATAATTTTGAGTATATACTTTTAATAAGCCATTACTATGTTTTCTAATGATTGTTTCTTTTTAAATTTTAGAATGTATTTAATTTCAATGGCACTTATGTTGGTGCTACCCAAATTATTCCCTTTGTAATAAAAAACAAAGGTATAACACGTGCCATAGTGGACTTTGATTTTAAAAACTTTCCAGATTTTTCAATGGATTTTAAGGACAAATCAGGTATGCATTTTGTGCCATAATTGTGTTATTGTAAAACAAAATTATTCTAAATTGCCCTGAGGTGAAATTGTTAAAATTTTAAGTCAGGGGCAGTTACTTAACATATTTTTTTAATGACTCAATGGGTACTTTTCTTATACTCTGACTCATCATTATTGTATTTCTAGAAATGTATCAATTTGAATTGTAGAACCTTTGGTGACACATGATATAACCATATTTGTTAGTTGGCATAATACAGTAATTTAAGTGTTACATGTAAGTATATACTATAAATGAAAATAAAATTATCAGTTTTTATTTTTGGTAGTTCTGAGGATTGAACCTAGGTCCTTGAGCATGCTAGGCAAACACTCTACCACTAAGCTATATCCCCAGCCTTTAATTGTTAGTGTTAAATGCTCAAGAATTTTAAGTAAATGTCTCTGGAGAGTTCCCTCTGTAGGTTTATTCATGTAATAGGACTCTTTATATTAAATTTGATTTAAACAAAATATGCATTTTTATAAGTGCAGTTCATCTGTTTACTCCAGGAGTTGACAAACTAAAGCCTATGGGCCATGTCTAGTCTAACACCTGTTTTTTTAAAGTTTTATTAGAACACAGACACACTCATTTGTATATTTTTAATGGCTGCCTTTATGTTATAATGGCAGTTGAATAGTTGTGACAGGAAACATATGTCTTATAAAATCTAAAATATTTACCATCTGGGCTCCTACAGAAAGTTTCCTCACCATTGGTTGAGTCATTTCTTCTTCAATGAATATTGATTGAATCCCAATTACAGGCTACATACTAGACTTTGAGTCTGCGAAGATAAGTGAGACATCTTAAATGTCCTTAAGAAGTGAACAATAAGTTTGTGTCAGAATCTCAGAAGCAAACAGATGATTCAGAGGATTTAACTGAAGAGAATTTAATAAAGGAATTATCTATTGAGGTTTGGGCAGGATTAAAAGAAACCAACAAGGGAAGGTAGCTGCTGCCACCTCTAGGCTTGAAGGAGCAAGAAGAAAGCAGATATTATTGCAGTCTACTGGAAGGTCAAACTGTAAGAGGAGCCAATCCAAAAGTGGTATAGTTATAAAGAAATGCAGTCATTGCCAGACCTCCAACTAAGGTAGTGTTGATGTGAGAGCATAAGTATTTGATCTTTCTTTCACCCTCCTACCCTGTCATATTTTGCTGGTGCCTTTCCATGATGAAACCCAACCAGGGACAGAAGACAAGGTAGTACATAAGTTAATTTGAATAACAATTAACTATTTACAATAAAATTATTCTTAAAATGTCCTAAAATTTTAATCATTATAAATATTTTAATAGGTCAATTCTCTTCTTTTACCACTTATTGATTTTCAAAATGATCACTTTAGGATTGATTATTCGATAGAGTGATTTATGGGAAAGGAAATGTTGGGATATATTTGGGTATGAGCTCACCTTGTCTTTCCAGTCATCTCTCCCATTACAGTAACCATAGGCTGTCTCTGCTGGAGCCATGTTCTATTATTACACATTTTCTTGAACTGAGCTTCCCTTCTCCTAGGATGATTTCATTCTCTTTCTGCTCCTCAAGGTGCCACCTTCTGTTATAAACTAGTTTCAACCTCTTAAGTCCTGTGTATTATTAGTCCCCTCTGCACTGTAAACCAGTTGGTAAAAATCAATTTTCTTAAGCATTGATCCATAAGACATTGTGTAAGTTTTGTTAGAGCAATAACTGAATTCTGTCTGGTATCAAAGGGAGCTGTGTACATGATTATACATGTATCTACTAGATGGTAAACTCTATGAAGTTAAAGAGTACACTTAAATTTTTGTTTTATTCTAGAGTTGTCCGATATGATTCTATGGGTTTAATACTCGATCAGGAAGTATTTATTGAAGCAAGCTTGAATTATTATATTTTATAACCTGTATGTTTATGTATACTCCAAATTGACTTGTGAATATTGATTTAAATCATCCATTTAATAGTTTCTATGTTATAGATACACATCTATTCTAGATGGTTATTCTTTGTTATATAATATTTGTATTTTTACTACACTACAAATAATATAGTGGTTTTATTCATTTGTTTGTTAAATGGTTTTCCCATCATGCCAAGGGTGTATGAAATTGAATGGGAACAAGAGAATGACAATAAGTTATTAAATTTTATTTCCAGATAGGAACAATCGAAATTTGTAGGATTTTTAAAGTTAATTGGAAAATTTTAGGAAGAAAATAGGATTTTTATAATTGTTTAGATGAGAAGTTCCACTGCAACTTTCATTTAATCATTCAGGAATTTATTTAAATGTTTATCATTTTTTATCCTGAAGTTTGCATTAGTGTGGTACAATAGTTTCTGTATGATTACTTAATGATTTTGTTCCTGGAATCCTTCCATTTTTTAATGAATTTTTCTTGTTATTTATATTATTTTAATTGACCTTTCTAAGATCTATTTCATAGCAGAATGATCATAGTTAACAATAATTTCGGGCTGGGGTTGTGGCTTAGCAGCAGAGCACTCACCTAGCATGTGTGAGGTTTGATCCTCAGCATTACATAAAAATGAATACATAAAGGTATAAAAAAACAATAATGTATATTTCAAAATAGCTGAGAGTAAATTTCAAATGTCTTATCACAAAGAAGAATGAGTAAATGAGGTGATGGATATATGGATCTTGCCCTTTATTCCTTTCCATATTTATTTTTGAATATGACTGTATTTTGTGAATTTTGGAGAGCTTTTAAATGGATTTATTGTCTCTGATTTTTCTGACTGAAAGAATGTTGCAAGTTTGGATATCAGTTTTGCTGATTAGAATCTTAGTATTAAGAACCATCTTTACCTAGCAACTTCATGTAGCCCTTCCCAGTTATGTCAATACTTGCTTTGCTTTTTTGATTGTTATGAATATATTCATGAGATTTTTCTAATTTCACAGTTTTCCATTAAATAATGCTCTTTAGATATGTATCTGGCTGTGTTGGGGATGTGGATCAGTGGTAGAGTGCTTGCTTGGCATGTATGAGGCCCTGGGATGGATCCCTAGCATGAGTTAAAAAAAAAAAAAACACAACAAAATGGAAATGAGGAAAACCACTCCATTTACAATATCCTCAAAGAAAATAAAATACTTGGGAATCAACCTAACAAAATAGGTGAAAGATTTATACAATGAAAACTACAGAACCCTAAAGAGAGAGATAGAAGATCTTAGAAGATGGAAAAATGTACCCTGTTCATGGATAGGCAGAACTAACCTCATCAAAAT